CTTTGTCCCTACCCCTCCCCCTTCCCTGTCCCTCCCCCTTCCTTGTCAATCCCCTATTCCTTGTCCCCCTTTCCTTTTCCCTTCCCCCCTCCCTCCCCCCCCCCCCCTTCCTTCTCCACCACTCTCTCTCCCTACCACTCCATCCCCTCTCCATCACTCTCCCCCACTCCCTCCCCCCTCCCTTTAACACTCAATGTAGTAGAATAGATTTATGTAGTTCTATCAAATACACTGTGATTCTCCCTATTCAAGTCTTAATATCATAAAGAATTCTTAGAAGTTATGAGCATAAGGTCTGAGTTGATTAAGTCACATGACATCTAGCTAAGCTTGGAATTTTCCATAATATACTCTAGGCTCCAAAATATGTGTTTTAGGCCATTCCTGTCCATTCCTGTGCCATTCCTGTCCATTCCTGTGGATTCCAGTGGATTCCTGTGCCATTCCTGCGGATTCCAGTGGAATGGCTCCATTCCTGCAGGAATCAGTGGGGCATGATGAAGTACTGTATGTTACCCTTTGTTTCTCTTGTGTATTTTACCAATAATGAACATTGTTTATAGACAGTTCCAATAGTGAGGTCAACATGAGGTCGCAGAAGAAGAGAAGGGCAAGGTTCACAAAGAAGAAGCATGATTCTAATGCTTGTGAGTCACCTTTGACATTCAAACTTTTGAAATGGTGGTCTGATACTGTGTATTTTGAAGGAAATTCAGATGATGAGGTGAGAAGTGTTGGAAAAGGAAGGAAATTGAAGAAAAGAAAGGTTGCCACATCTGGTATGTCACCTTCAACCTTACCACTGTACAGTTCTGAGTGGAGCAAAAAATCAGATGACTCTGGTGATGAGATACATCCTGTTGATCTCATGATCTTTGTCTATGTGAAGAAGCTGAATCCTCCTTGCACAGCAAAAGGTAAGGTTGAAGAAAGTGACAAGTATGCCCAGAAAGGACCCTTCAAGCTCAGTTCAAATGATGACTATGGCACCTTCCTCCACAAAGTGTCCACTGTGTTGCCAAGCCTGATTCTTCATATCATTGAGGACAAGATGTCATGGAAGCCTCAAATGCCACAAAACGCAAAGCCATTGCCAATGGGTGCATCAATGGGAGGTCTTTATTGTTCCCCTATGATTCCTGCCAAGCTCTGCCTGAGCTAGGCTGAGTTCAAGTAGTTTGTAATGACAGGGCACCCATATTGAGTTGGCAGGTGGGTCACAGCTGAGCTCTGCAGGACTTGGGCCAGTCCTGAGGACTGGGATTTCACCTCAACCAGGACAGGACCAGGACTGGGGTGTTTTTGATGCAGCTGTGATAAAATCATGTGACTTTATACAGGTCATCTCATGTGCGAGTTTAAACATCACAATATTGTCACAGTGTGTGACATCACTTCTTTTCTTCAACCACAACCCAACAATGCTGCCCACAACAACCACAACACGACACCCAATGCCAATGACAACCCACAACAAACATGAAAGGACACCCACACACAGAAACAGCTGTCACACCCCACGGAAAACACCACCACCATCTCGAAACACACCAGATGGAAACCAGGTGCCACATCGCAATGATGTGGCACCCAAACGATGCACAGCGGTACAGGTAAGCACCCCCCATCCCAAGCTCCTCCCAACCCAGCTCACTGACGCCAGGCACAAAACAAAGAATGACGACCAACATCATCATTCTCGAAAATGACAATATGCGACGAAGACAACACAGACAGCAAAAACAATAACAATGCAGACACAACAAAAATGAAGACAATGCAGACACAATGTGATGATGCAGGACAATGAAGACACACCATGCCTCACAAATGGCGATGAGGAATGACTGCCCACGTAGGAACACGAGTGCCTACTCATGGAGACAAGCACCTGTGTAGGAAAACGATGACCCACCAACCACCTATGCAGGAAAGCAGAACACCCACATATGCAACAAGTGCCCATGAGATGTGGCAACCAGATTACATCATTCACTCTGTTAAGGCACCTTGTGAGTATCCACCATGGCTCCCTCTACATCATCCCACTCCCTTCCCTCCATTCCCTCCCTCCATCAACCCCTCTCCCTCCATCAACCCCCCTCCCTCCATCAACCCCCCTCCCTCCATCAACCCCCCTCCCTCATTTCTCCTCCTCGCCATCCCTCTCCACCTCTCTCTCCCCCCACCATCCCACCATGCCCTGCCCCCTCCCTTTTATCCTCAAAGTAGTAGTCCCTCCATCGCCCCCTCCTCTCCATCCCTCTCCACCACACACTCTGCCCACCATTCCCTCCCTTCTCCCTTTCAATGTAGTAGAAATATTTATGAAGTTTTATTGAATATGCAACTCTTCCTTTTCAATCCTAACTATCTAAGAAATTATGAGATCAAGTTATTAGAGAGATCAAGTTATTAGAGCTGTTACATTAAGCCGCATGTCATGATTTATCTGGAATTTTCCATAATCTTGTAAGTACTCTTTAAAAATCCTGCCAAACTCTGTCCTAGTCCTGTGGAGTTTGGCAGAGCTTGGCAGGACTCTGCAGAGCTCTGAGGATTCCTGAGGATTTCTGCAGGACTCTGGCCAGTCCTGCAGGATTCATAGGGGGACTGAGAAGTACAGATGAGTGGAGATGAGCAAACTCACCTTCCCCGCACCACTGATCTCTTCAGCATGAGATATAGGTGCCACATCACTGTCTTTACTTTAGGAGACTACAGTGAGTACCCTCATCCCACTTCTCCATCACATACACCCGTTATACATGCAGTAACCCCCCCATACACCCCACAACCACCTGGCTCTAGTCGAAAGAGCCATTGTCCCTCCAAAGGGGTAACAGTGATAGTGTTTGAAAGTTAGGTTAGTTAACCGGAAAATAACCGGAAAATAACCGGAAAATAACCGGACCTAACCGCAACACTAACCTAACCGCGGTTAGGGTTAGTTGATTTCGAAAATGGAATAACCGGTTATAACCAGCCCTATTATACACCTTCAAAACGCACTTGAGAACGTCGAAAACGCTTAAAATTTGACTAAGTTACGGTCAAATCTCTAAAATATCACTCAAATGTGTAGACTTTCAAGGATAATTGCATAAATATGTCAATTTTTCACCGATTTTAGCGTTCTTGGGCTCGTTTTAAAGCTAGAATATGCAGAAATAATATCTATCAAGATACATATGAGCATATTTGCCTTGTTATAACCAATTCTTTATTTTTCGGTCCTAACCAGTTAGTAACTGCAAATAACCGACTGTAACCGGTTAGTTGCGGTCCGGTTAGGTTATTTTAGGTTTCGGGACAAAGGCTAACCGGTCTCGGTCTCGGTTAGAGCCCCTGGGCACCCAATAACCGGACCTAACCGGACTTTCGAACACTAAACAGTGATGAGGATGAATGGCAATGGTAGATGTGGACGAGGATGGCAACGACTGATGACGGACAATGAAGAAGGGTGACAATGACCACAACCACGATGAGTGATGATGAATGACCCATGACACAACAACACAAACACACAACCAAATGGCTCGACATCACCTCATGGCCATGACCATGACACAATGTGACCACAATGCATGACCATGACTATGGTAATGATACAATATGACCAGGCGATGATGCAATATGTTAGTAATGTAGATTGAGTATATATTACATTGTATATAGTAGTTTAAATATATACCTGTCCTATCAAACCTGCGAGACCCACCAGACCCCCCAAACCCCCACTAAACCCATACCCTTATCTAGTGTTCACAGGTCCAGTTAAGTCCAGCTTTTTACCTCAAAACGACGCAACTGGCAACTGCAACCGGTCTAGACCGATCCAAATATTGAGGGACTGCAACCGGTCCGCTTTGGACCAGTCCTAATCAGTCCACAACGTGAAAAAGACCGGTCCAGACCAGTTGCGACCGATCTTTTGTTGTAAAATTTATTACACCACAGAAACTAAATATTACCTCACATACATTGCATACGTAGATAGATATTTTAATTCTCTGTAGACTGATCAAAAATCTAAGCAATTCCATCAAGATTTGACTGAGGTAGGGTGAAAACAGAAAGGACGTACATTTGAATCACATGTATAAAAATGTTTTTGGCCATATCTCAACCAATTCTTGACCATTTTTGATGATTCAGGGACCGAAAATTAAGTAAAATGTGCACTAGTAAGGTCCAGCATGTGATGGGACGAAAGACCAGTTGAAACCGGTCTAAACCGGTCTTTTTCAGTTTTTATATATTTACAAAAACATGGCAACTGGCAACTGGACTGACCACAAATGTGGGCAACTGCAACTGGAAAAAGACCGGACCATGGTTCAGTCCAGTTCAGTCCTATGTATATTTTCAGTCCTGTAGACTGGACCTGCGAACACTACCCTTATCCATGGAAACCTGTACCTGCAGCCATGTGTCGGAGTTTTCTAAGTTCAGTCACAATTGGTCACAATTTGTTGTGCGCGTCACAATTTGGATTGCCGTCATAAGTCAGTGTGACCACAGAGTTTTTAATTACAATGCTGGTTGCAACGAATATTGGAACCACATTCCAACTCCGTGATAAGATTGCAACGATAACGATACGTGATAACGGGCTACCAAAAGTATTAGTACTGTCCTGTGTTTTTGTAGTCCCTTATTGTATTCGCTTTTGTAGTTACGGTTAATTCATTAGTCTTCTTATTGTAGTGTTTCTGTTATTCTTGTTATTGTAGGGTTTATTGGTATTGTAGTGTTCCTAGTAGTTTGTAGTTAGTAATTATTGCGCTGTGTGGGATTTGAACTTATGACTTACTGATCGTTATTATTTGAAACCTTTCTTACCTTGTCCATAGTAACTGCTAGGTTATTGCTTGATATATAGACAAGCCCTTCGGTTCAACTTGACAGAATGGCCACTGGTTCCCACCAGTCCCAATGTGTCGCCACAGGCCCACCACGATTTCTTCCCTTTCCCCCTCGCCAAGAGGCCCCACTTCATCGTCAGGCCTTTCCTCGCTCAATCCCAGTCCTTTGACCACCACATCCGCGCTTCTCCCTCAACTATTCTTTGGATCGGACCGAAGTTGAGCTCGATCTGCAACAGGTACGTCACATACTCATGGGAGACTAACGGATCACTCTGGTCTAACACCAGCTCGTACATGCACATTATGGACGACTTTGATTTGACTGCCATTCTCCCCATCGAGATCCGTACCGACATACCAAGAGGACCGAATCGGTGCTGCCCGCGGAATCGAGAGCATTGAGGGAAACCGATACCCTGACGTGGGTGGATGCTGCGGGTTTCGGTTTTTATCGGAGCAGGCCCCAAAATGTGCTTGTAAGTCTTTCTTTTACTCTGGCATTATCTTGCCATTGGGCCTCTAATTGTAGGTGCTTTCTTCGTGTTACGACACCGCTCATGATGCGGGTTGTGTCGCCTGGCATGTACTGGATGTCAACCACCGGCCTTCCCTCGGATGTGTCGATTAGTGTTTTGCGAACGCCTGTTTATGAGTCATTCATTCATCATATGGACCATGCCCATTCCAAAAACAGATGGGGGACAGAAAAGCACATTTGAAGAGATCGGGACCGGGTAGACAGGGAACCTAATGAGGGTGTCATAGGCGAGGAAAGTGTTGTCTTATTTCTTGCCGAGTTTCTTGACACAGGCAACATTGTCGCCACCTTATGTATCCTCTGTTCCCTGGTTTTTGTTGCTTTTGTTTAGACTCACTGTACTGTATGTCTTCACCCTTTTGACAAAAATGAAACACCCATTCCAACAAAATACTGACGAAACACGATGCACACGAAAAAGTAGCTACATACCAATATCACGATGTGTCAATGAAGAAACAGTCTGCCTCAAACTTGACGTCCGCTCCTGTGATTTGCTGCCAATTTGCTGCAGGCACTGCCGCTGCAGCAGGCACTCCCACCGCCATCTCCGTTGCAGCTGTCACTGTTGCTGATCCCTTCGCAGGTGCCCGTGCCTTCCTCCCCTTCTTAGGTTAGCGGGTCGTGCCACCTCTTGAACGATGGGTTGCGAGGGTCCAGCCGTCATGGATTGAGGCTGATGTGACATTGAACCTGCGGTGTTGATAGTTGAGTCAGCACGGCACTCTGCATGAGCACCAGAGTGGCTGGCTTGGCCTGGGGTGCTGGTGCTTGGGGTGAGGGTGAGCCTGGTGAATGCTTCCTCGAGGCCGCTGCTGTCGTCGTTGTTGATCAGCGCCACTGTGTTATTGTCCGTTTGTGCCTTGAAGATGATGTTGTTGTAGAATTTGAGTAACGCCTTGTGGTACGGTGTGCCTGCCTTCGCCTGGATAAACTTGCATACGAATTGAAGTCTTTTTGGTAGTCAATGCCCGAACAAGCACCTTTCCCTGCTGCATTGAACTCCATGTTGGGGGAAAATGCTGCCTGAACCTATGGTAAGACCTCCAAGAATTTGAAATGAAAATAATGTTTACCAGAATCGCAATCGTCACAATGCTACCTTCAGTGATGTATAACACTTTCCACAGTTTGGCGTACGTTTTTGGCTTGGCGTAAGTTTTATTCCGGGAGATGGAAGCAGCACCTTGCAGGAGGCCCTTCAATGCCTTGGTTGATGGTGCGAGGTGAGTAAAGACCCTGTAAATATGGGTACATCTCCTGTAAACGTAAAAACATGTCCACACCAACAATATACATACAACCTTTTCCGTTGCCTTGGCTTGCTTTTGTGTTTCTATTTGGCCAGATAAGATGATGAGAGTGAGATGTTCACAACATAAATGCTCCACAGACACGCCGTGAGGTTGGGAGAGAGGAATGGGAGCAAATGGGACGTAATCAGGTCGTTATCAACAAGACGTCAACGATCCATCATTACGCGGATACAATTCCCGATATAATCACGTTGTAACTGATCCGGTCCATCAATTCTCAGTTATAACTGAACTAGGACCCTTTCAACGCCTCGATCCAATGGCAATCTATTGCAACTCAGGTTCAAACCAGTGTTGAAACTCAGTCATAATGCGAGCCGGTTGTGACCGGCTAAAGAAATCTCCGACATGGGTATGGGTTTTCATGGGTAAGGGTACAGGTTTAGCCAGGTACAGGTTTCCATGGGTAAGGGTATGGGTTTAGCTGAAGGTACCTGGGGGTTACCTGTGACAATGCCTACTTACAAGTCCAGGCTTGCCAGATGGCAGAGGCAGAAGGCAGTGGGAGACATGGTTCTGGAGAACGGAGTCATGTGTAGAGGATCCTGTAACCCTGGAACAGGAGCATCCACATCCAATATACATGTTGTGGTTTCAAGTAGAGTTGATGATTCTCTTCTTCTTTGTGGTGCTCTTTATCCCCAGACTCTTCTCAACAGTCTGGGGATCCTTATTCACGAATATTAGTTCTATATCCAGCTTAGAGTTAGTTACCAAAGCAATATAATCCTATATTCACTTACCTAATGATAGTTTCTTAATCAACATATCACTATTGTCTAGAGTCGTCTCAAAAGGGCTAGCAGCATGATCACTAGCATAGATGACATCATTGTTGAGTGAAGTGCAGGCACTATTAGAAGTTAGAACAGGTTTGCATGATTATGGGGCATGAACAGTGGTGGAATGGGTCGAAGTCTAAAGAACAGGCCAATTCCTGATTTGGTAACTATGGAATGTGAGACCATGAAGCAAACAAACAATGACTAAACAAATGAACTTGAAGGATGAAAATCTACCTTATATATTTTTCAAATGACTTAGAAATATTTCATGTATCTTTTACACATAACTTAGTGACACAGACCGTGAGCTGCACAAAGAAATAATGACTAATGAATGATGGGTATTGCTACAGGTACCCACCAACCCCTGCCACAGATACAGGTTTGGCAATGGTAGCAAATATCAAACCTGTACCCCTACCTGTAACCCACATGGGTTGCCAAACCTGTGACAATCACTATACATATATACAATGACATGTATTGTAGCCATTCATCTGTTTGCCTCTGCTACTTGCAGAAACAATCTTATTCTCAAATTTTCTTCATTGCACAAATGATCTACACTTACTGATTTGAATTTGACAAGTTGGTCATCAAGATTGGAAGGGAAGGAGGCCAGAGATAGGAAGTAAGAATTACAGTTAGTGTTTAAAAGTCTGGTCTGGTCCGGTTTTTTGATGCCCCGGGGCTTAGACCGTAACTGTAACCAGTCTGCCTCTTTCCCAGAAGTCAAAAGACTGAACCGGACCACAAAAAGCCGCGGTCTGCAGTCTTTTTGTGGTCTATAGACCAGTCTTGGTCTTCTTTGGTTTTAACCTGTTTAAGACCAGTCTTTTGGCCAATATATTAGAGTTATGAGTTGGTAAATTTGTTGACGTTTTTATTGGCTTTAAAAAGAGCCCAAGAATGTTAAATCCCATTAAGAATTGGTGTTTCTATAAAAAAAGTCTGGTACAGCTACTATTTTCAACAATATTTTATATCTTCAACTATATCTTTGTCAGTTTTGGACAAATTAATACATTCTTGGGTGTGTTTTGAAGGGTATTTAGTGGGCTACAAAAAGCCGGTCCTAACCAGTTAAGACTGGTTCACTTAGACTTTGTTTTTTGCAGTCTTTACTTTTGTGATCTTGGTCTGGTCTTTTTCCAGTCCTGAGACCAGACTTCCAAACACTAATTATGGTTTGATTATGGTGTTCCCCAATTTCTTTGAAAATGGACTACAGTGTTGGGCTGAAATTCCTAGAATCAGATGTATTCAATAGATGCAGAATTTTTGGACAATGGAGCATTGTTAGAAGTGGCACAGAATGAATGAATGAGAGCGGCATTGGGTGTACATAAGCAATGAAATGTCAGTTGGTTGCGAGGCAAGGGAGAAAATAGGGGAGTTCATGGTAGCCATTTTTGAGCCATTTTTGATCCATTCTTCATTCATTTTTGTAGACATAGAACATCAAAATTGAACTGAAAAATGAACCAAAAAATGGCTACTGTGAACCCACCCTCCTTGAAATTTTCAAAAATGTGAGGTGATTGCCATATGGGTAGTGCTTGGAAGTCCAGTCTCAAGACTGAAAAAAGACTGAGACTGGACTGAACCAAAACTGCCCAAGACCAGAAATTCCCAGGACCGTCGAAGACCACAACCGTGGTCCGGTTCTCGGTCTCTCATGATTTCGGAAATTTGAAGACCGTGAAGACCAACAAAAAACCGGTCTAACCGGTCTCAACTGGAACTCGTAACCAAACACAAACACAAAACACAAACACAACTCATAACCAAACACAACTTTCCTCCTCCTACCACCACCCTCCCTGTTACCATCACCACCCTTTGTGATGACCACTTTGCATTGTAGTGTTTGAAAGTCCGGTTAGGTCCGGTTATTGGGTGCCCAGGGGCTCTAACCGAGACCGAGACCAGTTAGCCTTTGTCCCGAAACCTAAAATAACCTAACCGGACCGCAACTAACCGGTTACGGTCGGTTATTTGCAGTTACTAACCGGTTAGGACCGAAAAATAAAGAATCGGTTATAACAAGGCAAATATGCTCATATGTATCTTGATAGATATTATTTCTGCATATTCTAGCTTTAAAACGAGCCCAAGAACGCTAAAATCGGTGAAGAATTGACATATTTATGCAATTATCCTTGAAAGTCTACACATTTGAGTGATATTTTAGAGATTTGACCGTAACTTAGTCAAATTTTAAGCGTTTTCGACGTTCTCAAGTGCGTTTTGAAGGTGTATAATAGGGCTGGTTATAACCGGTCATAACCGGTTATTTAACGGTTAGTTAACCGCAAAATAACCGGTTATTCCATTTTCGAAATCAACTAACCCTAACTGCGGTTAGGTTAGTGTTGCGGTTAGGTCCGGTTATTTTCTGGTTATTTTCCGGTTAACTAACCTAACTTTCAAACACTATTGCATTGTGAGCACCTGCGATGGGCTAAACGACCCATATGCTCACACATCGACCACCACCTCACATGCTGGAGGCTCAGCAATGACCCCATGGCCACAGCGTGCCACATCATCCTCCACAATGATGCCCCCCCCCTGCCAGACATCACCTACGGCTGCCACCGCCCACCACCAACCACAATGGCAACAACAAACACCTGCCATACACGACTGTCGTCAACTCTCACACCCACCTCACACCAACCACAACAACAACAAGCGCCTGCTACGTTGACAGCACATGGAGAAGACCTCCCTCACCCTCTGCCACCTTTGGCAATGACAAGCGCATGACAACGGCCACGCAACGACGATGGAGATAGGTGGACAACAATGACGTGACATGGCAGCAACGACGGATGATGGAGGACAATGCAAAGAATGGCGACGGCTGACAACAGACAGCAACAAGGAAGTGCGAGTGCTCCCCCCCACCCCCCTCATGTAGTACTACAGTGTATTTAGTCAATTATATACATGTTCTCCCTATGTCAGTAGCTCCGAGACTGGTTGAAGACCAGTTGTCAACCAGTTCAGACTGAAACTGGTTGAGACCGGTCTTTCAACTGTAAAAAACTGACCAAAACCGCACTGAACCGGTTGACGTCGGTTCAGTCTGGTTTTTCATGGTTCTTCAACCTGCGAGGACCGGTGCCAGTCCCGGTCTTGTCAAATTTTGACAAAAGACCAGACTGGACTGGACTTCCAAGCACTACATATGGGGCAACAACAAAAGAAACGGATAATGCCGAAACACCCTTTGGCAACTTGACCCCCAAAGACAAAAAATGGATGAAAAATGAATGAAAAATAGAAACAAATCAAAAACAGACACATTTCCTGTTTTTGAGCCATTTTCCATCTCATTTCTAGCTCCATTTTTCATCTCATTTTTCTGAAAAATGAAATCAAAAATGAGATCAAAAATGGCTACTGTGAACACCACTAATGGCACATAGCCTGTCAATAGGGGGACAAGGGACATACATCATCCTGTAGCGCCAATTTCCTAGTTTAACGTGTTAGCCTTTGGTGTAATATTGAACAGGGAGTGGCGCACTACGGTAAATGACATCTCCCCATCTCCCAGGCTTAGAACTGAAATCATAAGTGATGCTGACCTCCACATGAGAATTTATCGAAGCTGCTAGCTCCATAGGATGCATACACCTTTGTCATTCAAGATAACCTCCTTGATGAAACAAGTAATTTGATCGGCAGTTCTGGGTAGGATTCTTGAGCAACATCCTTGTCACTCAGCAGGAAGTCGACCAGTTTCCTCGACGAAGCCAATAATTCTGCTACTCTGTTCAGATTGCATGAATGACATGTACGAACATGTGCTGGATTTCTTCAGGCCTACGCATCTTTAGGTGTTGCAGATTGCATGTTGTCCCTGGTGAGCAGGGGGTGGGTCTGTGCGCAAAAGGGGGTGATGTGACCGGTGTCGGAAATTTCCCAGGCACCTGATAAGGCTCCGGCCTTGCAATGTTGATCGCCGACATAATCAGGCCTTGCCCAACCCTTGCCAGCCCTTGTCATTTCACGGCAAACCTGACGAGATGATGCCGGGAAAATCCGGGGGGCGGTTGCCTTACAAAGCGACCAGACCTCTGATGTAATGATTATTTCCATGTTACAAGCTTGATGATCTCCGATAAGGTGTGATAAGGCAAATCGGGTCTGATAAGATTTGTCCAGCCTCATAACATAGGCTCCAATTGCCTCTGCAGCCAGGTCAAGGCTATGAACCAATTATTGATTTTTTGTGTGTCTTATAACGTTATCTGTATCCTTTTGATCCTGTTCAGCTCAAAATGATACCAAATTCCATACAGAGAGTAAAGATAATGCTGTTGTAAGGTAGGCTTAAATACTAGATATATGAACGACCTTGGGAAGTTTCTTATATGCCTTTGTAGTGTAGTGGTATGTTGCGACTACAAATTTGTAGTCTTCACGTGAGGATCGCACGAGCCCCGAGGTTTTTGGTTCAATCCTTACTTGTTGCATTTTAATTTGCCACGTAACATTGTTAAGTCTAGACTGTGAATATTTATAATTTGGATAATCTTATCAGGCCTGATAATCTGATCTTATCAAGTTAACCCAAAACTTAATAAAATAACTGCAACGTTGTAAGCCATTATTAGGTTAGGGGTGCCTTGGGTGCCTAATAACCCTTATTAGGCGCCAGGGAAATTTCCGACAGGAAATAGCCGAGGCCGCTTGTCTCGTGCTTCAACAAACTTCAATCATCATCCTTTTCGGTTTCCTAACATCCCTCCTCACCGTCTGCCACATCGCACACGTCGCCAGCCACGATGAGCAAAAAAAGTAGCAAAGCGCAGCAGGCAAAAGTGGTCACGACGTACAACATCAACGACACGGTCCTAGGCAAAGTGCACGGCTTTCAACCGTAGCCCGGCATGGTGAGCCTCCTCGCGTCGAGTACGTCCAACGGTTCTGATCTATGTCTAGGTTGTGGACCCAGACAACATCCACCCCACCGTGGCTCTCGAACGCCCCAACAGCAAAAAGGCCACGTTCTACTGTGTCAGGTTCTTCCCTTTGGGTGACCAGTGTGTCCTTTTTCCATGCGTTCTCCGCCCTGACGTGCCCACACTGACACGTTGCCTGCAGTGCATGGTTAGTCGAGAAAGACATCTCGAAGCTCCAACGACACGAAATCGAGTCGTACATCTCGGAGCCCCACAAAAAGTCGTCAGAGCTGTTGAATGGGTATCGCATTGCTCTGGACCCTGCGACGTGGCTCGCAGAGAAAGAGGCTATGATCCAGGATACAGTAGACATGGAAGAAAATGCTGAGATTGATCAGCTTGCAGAGACGGAGGATGGAGAAGATGAAGGGGGTGCAGGTTCGCGTTTTTTTCATGTTTTGTTTTTTATCGTCGTGGTGAAATGCTGATTCCTTGATTTACTAGGCAAGAAACAAGGGAAGAAGAGGAAACGCGACGATGCTTCTGCATCTGTCAAAGAAAAGAGAGGAAGAAATCCGACAAACCAGCGAAAGCTAAGGCAAAGAAAGACGCTGATGCTGGAAGTACCACAAGAAAAGCCAAGGCCACCAATGGCAATGGAGCCTCTAAACGTTCTAAAAAGTCCCAAGCGATGGTTGAGTCCGAGGATGAAGGTGAAGCTGAGGCGGATGCGGAGGATGAGGCTGAAGATGACGCAGATGCCGGGCCCAGCACAAAGAGCTCCAAGAAGGCCGCGGCTGCAGCGGATAAGGCCGCGGCTGCAGCGGATAAGGCCGCGGCTGCAGCGGATAAGGCTGCTATGTCGCCCCCACCAGCGAAGAAAGCGAAACGGGACCGGGATGACGATGCAGATGAAGGTAAGTCTGCTTTCCTTTTCCTTTTATTTGTGGTTCTGCGGACCTGGTGGCTCCATGGATAAGTGGAGTGGATTATCGCATCGCTCTGATCTTTGGCTTGTTCTCATTTCGCCTTATCTCGCTGTTGCCATAATTGCCCTTTTTGCCCTCTTTGCCCATCCTTGTCCTCTTTGTACGCCCCAGACCCTTTTTCTGCCATTTTCCCCTTGTCTGACAGCTATGCTTTGCCAATACCCCCTCCCTTGACGTTTTCCACCCTTTTCATCGGATTTCACCTTCGTTGCATGTCCTCTGATGTTCCTCCCACTCTCTTCTATCTCTCTTTTCTCTCTGCCTACCTCTCTCTTGCTTGACCTTCCCTTTCTCTCTGTCATGGCCCATCTTTTGCTTTCTCCCTTTTTCTCCCAGTCATTTTCATCTTATAGCTGCTTTTGCCTTACAAAAGCACTTTCCTCACTCTTCCCTCCTTTTTCTCGTTTCTGGCGCCTTTCCTTATCCTGGCGTCAACTTTTATCTTCCTCTGGCGCCTTTTTTTCGTCCTTTTGACCCCTTTTCTTCCTCTTCTTGTGTCCTATCATCTTCTCCAAGGCGCTGGTGCCTTTTGATGGTCCCCCAGACCTTTGTGCGCCTTTTGTTCTCGAAATTGTTTTGAGAATATGACGGCGTTGCTGTTTTTGGTTAGTTTGAGTGAGTATGATCAGATGTTGTATGAGGATGAGAGTGTGGTATGTTCCTCCTCTTTTTTTCTCTCCTTGCCGCTCACGAACCACTTTTTTTGATAGAACCGCATGCAAGAAGCGCTCACCCTCTTCGACTCGATATGCAACTCGCAATGGTTCGTCAAAACATCAATCGTACGTCCCCCCTCTCTTTCCCCCCTCCCCTCTTCTTCCACTAACACCCCCTCCCCCAAAAGATCCTATTCCTAAACAAAATCGACCTCTTCGCCGAAAAACTCCCGCGCTCACCATTAGGCGACTACTTCCCAGACTACACAGGCGGAGACACCTACAACGCCGCATGCGACTACCTCTTGCACTGCTTTGTCTCCCTCAAAAAGAGCGCGGCGACGAAGCAGATTTATGCGCATTATACGTGTGCTACGGTTACGCAGCAGATTAAGTACGTCCACCCCCTTTTTTTTTTTTTGAGATGATGGCTGATGCAGGTGAATTGGATGATAGTTGTGTTGAGTGCGATTCAAGATATATTACTTCAGCTCCATTTGAGGGAATGTGGGCTGCTGTAACCTCGACTTTTTTTTCGCCGCCGTCTTGTGCTCCCACCCCTTCCTTTTTTCTGCTTCATGGCGATTGTTTTTACCCACAACCCCAATCGACATCCCCTGCTATAATGATACCCCCCCGCATCTTTGTATCAAACACGAACACCACCCACCGAAGTTGTTGCGTCCCTGGTCACTCTTACCGCCCCATCTTTTATTCGACCTCATCTTGAATACCAATCT